ATATATATAAATCACAATCTTAGAGTTCACATAACGAAATAACTATAATAATAATCGAAACAAATAAACAAACATATAAATGTAAATTAGAAAATTTGAAAACCAGAATTTAAAACCCTTTCAAAGATTAACTAAATTTAATAAAAAAAATTGAAGATTATCAATATTATATTTTAAAATCAATCATTATTTTAAAATCGTTTGTAAAACTAACTTTTACCAATAATATATATAAAAGTTAATTCTTTATACAATTGTTATATTACTATTCATTGATGGATCTAGCGTTTTTAGTGGCAAAAGGAAATATTATTTCATAGATATTTTGAGATTAAGTATATATGTAGTGTATGTATGTTATCGATTATTAAGAAAAAATATAGGTGATAGACACAAATTTATTAGTGAACGTTTGCGATATATGCTCCACATAGTGATCTGCGTAAGGGTGCAGATTCACAGGTAGTAACAAAATGCAATCGCTAGTTGCAACTGCAATGCCGACTATTAGCTGCAGTACAACAAATTAAATAAAGAACACACTAAAGATTTGTTTTCACAGTTTGATCCAATCTTCTACGTTTGCGGACTTAACCTAAAGACTGAACTCACTAAACCACTTTCAACCGTACAAATGTTGCAGTTGGAGTGTAATTTTACATATATTTGAGTCTCTCTAAATCATAAGGTTGCTAGTGGATTAAATCTATATTGTTATTAGTACAATGTTATTGATTGCACTTTTGAACTATTTTTCTTAAATATTTGTTAGTGGATTAAATCTATATTCTTTTAACCACTTAAATCGTTTGAGGAGTTTTAATCACTTAGTTATTTTCAATTACTCTCAAATAATTTTTTTTATTAAACCTAAAAAATAGCCTTAAACACTTAAAAATCTAATGAAATTAATGTCAAATGACCTAAATGGTAAAAGGGTAGGTTATTCGGCCTAAAGGTATTGGTTCAACTAGTTATGTCTACAGAGTGTGTGCGCGCGTATTGTCAATAAATTAAGAAAGTTTTGAACATTTATTATCATACAATCACCCTAAATTATTAAAAAAATTTGATCTAGTTAATGCAAATTTAGATGATTAGAACCTGAGTTAATCATTAAACTGCAAGATTTTAATTTTAGTGTGTACATGAATCTCTTTTGAAAATCCCTACTAAAGTTGCTCTTCCCATAATATAATCAACATAATTAAAGGCTTGTTTTAAGGGAATAACAATAAAGAAAGGGCCAGACTGTTAGGTTATAATTTATTTGTATATTGCAGAATCATCATTATATATACTCTAATTAACTCTCTTATTACCCAAAGCCAGCATCACTTTCTTATAAATTAATCAAAAGTCATCAGCTTTGAATCTTTGATCTTTCTCTCTCTCTGCAACTCAACTTTGCTTACAAGAAACAGTTCGCCATTGGACACCTGTATTTGTTTATATATGGATTCCCCCAAAAGATATTGTTCTTATGCTTCAATAAGATTTAAGTTAGAGATTTAAACTGCGGTTGTGATCACATTTTCGGTTGCATTTATCACGATTGTAAACATAATGGATGATATTACGCTAATTATAAATGTCGGGATCATACAATAACAGTCTCAGTCGGGTATCAAAACTGGTATATAACTGCCTCTATTCCAAAAATGAATTTCTATTCAAGTCCCTGATTTCAGTTACCGAAACCAATCACCCCTCCTTTTCCTCTCTCTGTATATACCTTCTTCAACCCCATTAATTTTCCTCGCAACAACTCCCTGTGTATGTATATATATAGGTATATATATCCTTGGTTTATGTTGAAAGGGTCATTATTTTTACTCTTACATCACAAGATTTTCTCTCCTCTATAGCTGCCTTATTTTCTTTTCAGCAATTATGTGATGCCATGGTCAACCCACCCACCCTAGATAGCCAGGGTATTCATTTTTTCCCTTGATTTGAACTTCGGGTGTTTTTAATTTTTAATTTTTGGCAGTTGCATAATGATTTCTGGGGGTGGGTTTGCTTTATTTGCTTTTTGTTTACCACTTTTTACTATAGGTTTATTTTCTTTGTCATTTAAAAAGGGTTAGGGTTTCCCCCCCATGTATTTTCACTTTGCATGGGGAGGGAGAGAACTCATCATCTGTGGTAATCATGGAGTCAGTGCTTGCAGATGCGGCATTATCAAGATTCACAAACTTGGGTAAGGGTGTGTTTGGAGAGCCAAAGTTTCCTTTCAGATTTGGGAATCTTGATGATGCTGCATCAGCAAACATGTTGGCTATACTCTCCCTTTTCGATTGAACTCCAGTTATAGATGCCATTCCAGGGTGGAAAATAAAGACTATACCAAAGGTATTTATCATTTCTCTTTAACAATATCCCTCATCTTTTGGCTGATTCTTCTACTTATGCTCTTTTTGCTTTGTTGGAGAGGTTGCTGCTGAAACAGGTGATACAATAATAAACTGTGTAGGGTTTTCTTAATATTTATGTATGAAGAGCCAGTAATCTAATAAACTTGGAGATCTTGTTATATACTTCTTTGATTTTATTTTTGTCAGCTGAAATTCCATGTGACAAGAAGTTCTTGTATTTTGTCTTGTAAAATAGAAGTAGGGTCAACATGAAGGATGCTTAATTATTAGGGTTTACATTATTGATATTGTGAATTATAAATCTTAGCAATATGACTTATTTTCACAATAAATTCCTTCACTCTCTATATATATATGAAAAAAGATTTGGCTATTCATAATTTTCTTGCTGTTTCCCCTAGGAAGTTTTGTATTTATCAACTAAAATGTCTATATAAATATGCATATAGAAATACAACATGGAGAAACTTAGGCTTTGTTTAGTTTGAAGGATGAAAATGAAAAAGTGTTGTTTTAATCATTTGATTAATAAATTTTTCATTGTAAGATCTTAATTCGTAGCTGGAGGTCTGGAAATATTTCAGTTTACTGCCCCAAGGGATGACAAAAAAACCCGAACCCGACGGGGAAAATCGAAAACCGAATTAAACGGGGACATGGAAAAACTGTTTATGCTAAATGGGGACGGGGAAAAACCGTTTATGTTAAACGGGGACGGGTTTAGTAATCCCCGCCCCGATTACCCGATTATCCGGCCCGATACCCGGCCCGATAAATATTACAAATAATTATTATATATATATATATATATAATATTAATAAATTTAATTTAAATTGAAAAATATATATAATATTTATATATTTAATTTAAATATATATACCCGGCCCGATACCCGTTTAAATAACCGTTTATGCTAAACGGGGATACCCGTTTCCCCGCGGTTTTTCCCGATTACCCGATGGAGATCCCCGTTTAAATCACCGTGGTTTTTTAAGCGGGAACGGGTACGGATTTTTTAAACGGGGACGGGGGACCAATACCCGGCCCGAACCCGGCCCGTTGCCATCCCTAGCCCCAACTTTTAAACACCGATGCAAAAGCTAAAAGATTCGAGTGCTATCCAATATTATGGTATAGGAAACGCCATTGCACATTAACAAGGGAAAGAATAGCAAATTACTTGATTTCCCCCTTTCTTCTGGTCATGAAAGTAGTCGTTATTAGAAAAGGGAAAGATTTTTTTTACACTGAACATCTATTCTTCTTTCTCCATATCCTAAGTTATTTTACTTTGACTCAGATGTGTTATGTTGGAAATATATATATATATATATATATATATATATATATATATATATATATATATATATATATATATATATATATATATATATATATATATATTCTTTTAATGCATTAACTATATAAATTGTTCATTTAGTGTATCCGAATCCTTATATTGAGTGTCACCTTTTGTGTTCTAAGGATGAAAACGAAATTGTCAGAATGCATTAATCTTGCATCAAAAAGAAAAGGGAAGTCTTAAACTTTAAAAACAATGACGTTGTACATATTATAGAACATGTTTTTTTTGGAAGGAGAATAACGATTCAAGGACAATAATTTGATGTAAGTATACATCTCCATCCTTTTTACATTGTATGCATGTCTTATATTATATACACGCACAAACGCATTCATCTGATTAGTGTATGAATAACTCTGAACTTTTATCAAGCATTTGATCGTTTGGAACAACTTGAAATGCAATCAATGTTGTTGCTGGTTCAGATTTCAGCATTTGTAGTATAATTAAGGTTTAAGAGTTTGTATTTGATTGGTTAGAATCTTGATCTGAGATCAGATTCACACCGATATGCCTTTCTATAATTTCAAATTGCATCCAGTAAATGGAAAACCATGAATTTGTAAAATAAGAGCAATTGTCAGACAAGAGGCACCCAAGAAAGCATTATCCAGTAGGCTACCAGCAAGACATTGGATAAGGTAGATTAAATTTTTTATTTTTAAGAGTTTTTAAGGTTTGAGGCCCTGTTTCAACCATTTTTATGGACAACCATGTTTATTATTTCGTTGGAATAAATTAATTAATAAAAGTTCAATGATAATAGCAGGCTTTCCTCTGCCCATGCTTTGTGCAGTTCACATGTTTCCATGTGATATTCTCAAGCCATTTTAAGAAAAATACAAGTTTTCTAAATTATAAATACATTAACAATAAGTTTTTTAAGTGACATACCAAGTACTATAGAGTGTCGTGTTACAAGAAACATCTTAGATTGGTAACTTTTATTTGTAATTATCATTATTATTTTGTTACGAAATTTAGTTGCAGTGAATATAAGTATTTTATGTATTTTAGAAAAAATTGATTAATTTGGAGTAAGTATAAGGTGTAAGGTAATATTTGTTCAAAGATAACTCTCAACTATTTGACATTTAACGTATTCCTGATACTCGAACCCGAAACTTCAAAGAATAACAACCATTCTTTAATCTCTAAAACCGTTTAGTTTGTGCTTTGAAAATTAAATTATGATGAGTTTCTCGTTGTTGTGATTTAACAATAAATTTAGTCATGTATGCATGTATGTCAAGCTTCATGGTTCAAATCCAAGGGAGAAAAACCAACACTTGGGAAGATCAGACGGTGGAGGAGGCAGCTTCTGGTTTGGGAGCTTCCCATCCAAGACTATGACTATCCATGCCATTCTTAATCCCCAGCTCAAAATGGACATCAAAGTGTCAGTGCATCGGCCAAACTTCTACACCATTATGGTATACAAGTCATTAAATGCATATATTTATATTTTGTATGATTTATTGTCTAACAATTACATTTGTAGGTTGTGTGTGTTGTATCATAATTAAAAAAGTTATAAACAGATATTATATTATAATAATTTCAGACTATTATACCGCTTGAAAACGGATTGCAATCGCAATCACCAGACTGAACACCAATGGTGTTTCTTTCAACAGGATTAACCAGTTTGAACTTGGGAGGATCATTTTCAGGGTCAAAGTTTACGAAGCCCTGACCATCAACATTAATATTATAGCCATGAAGATGGAGTGGGTGGCTCTCGGCACCAAGAATACTCGAATCCTGCAACACTACTCCGACGCTCGTATCAAACGGTATCACCACGAGTTTACTACCATTACTTACGAGTGTGTTGTGAGGTGGTGTGCCTGTGTAATCGAATGAAAGAATGAAGAGTGGAAGCTGGGAAATCAGCATCAGCTTTAAACCACTCACCTATAGTGAAACTTCATCGAGTTAAATTGCCATCAAAGAACAACAAAAGTTGCAGCATTGTTCGAAAAAGATATCGGTAATTTGCGTAACGTTGCCCAAGACTGGGACTTGTTTGTAGCGTTTGACAAAAGTGTATGAATCATTTCGCCTTGGGAGGATGATAAGTGGTCCATAAACAGTTTCTCTAAGCCATGAAAAGTGGTCATGCCAGAAGATAGTGTCTATTTGGCCAGTAATGGTGAAATTGTACACATAAGACGGGCCAGTTTGAATGGGACACTGTGTGGAGTTCGACGGCCTATCCACCCATCCACTCCGAAGCAGTTGAACTCCATACCGGCAAACAAACAATAATTTAGCCATAGAAATGTAAACAACTTATACAAGTGAAGAAATTGATCGGCTTCACGTACCAGTGATGGCCTGATGTTATTAAGGACATGGTTAACTACTTTGATGACCAAGTGTTCACGTATAGCTACTTAGGAGTTGGATGCTCTTTACTTTGCTCCAAGTTAAATATAAAAAAACTATTATAAATTAAGCGTAAACTACATTGATGGTCACTAAAATTTTAGTGAATTTTTGTTTTCCCTACTAAATTTTCAAAAGTTACAGATCAGTCACTGACATTACCTATTTGTAACAAAACGGTCACTTGACATTAATAGCCGTTAACGCCCATTATAGAAAATTGAGCTAGATCATTAAAAGCTTACCTATACAGTAGAGTGCCATGTTGGTGAACCGATGAAGTCCTTATTCATCGTCTCTCTCTCTATGTGTGTGTGATGCCCTCGAGTTTCGAGCAAGAAGACATTATTTAAAACAAAAAAAATACTCAACAGTGGAGGATTCCTCAAATCCCATTGTTAAAGAAAGGGTAGAGTTGATGATTTCACGAGATAATAAGAGCCGCAAATTAAGTATACTCTATTTCATCACACCTTCAATACATGACTCAAGTTCCATTGATGGAACACTAATCCCTAACCTACCAATGTCTTCCCTTTCCTCTTGTTCAACCACTTTTTATCCCAAAACTTGGCCCATCGAAGCAATGTGGCTGAAGATACCCACGAAAGGAATGGAAAACATGCATCTTCAAAATGGTTATACATTAGTTACAAAGGGTTCACTCATTTCCAAGACTTCATTCAAAAGCCCTGTGAAGATGATGGAATCTGTTTCGGTAGGCTTGAACTTGATAAGCGTTGAAGGGACCAAATCCTCGTCATCTAGTGTTTTTGTCCAGTTACCGGGAAAGAGTGGATTTGTTGAACCTATTCTGGATATAATTCAAAGTCCATAAAACTTGAATTTGAACACAAAATAGATTTTTTGGGTAAGTAATACCGATACTATTCTTACTGTATCGATATTGTATCAATAGTACTTATATTGTTCTTGCAGTACGAATGCCAAAGGTAAGAGAAATATCGATACTCCCTTACACTATAACAAAACAAACTTTTAGCGACGCTTTTTAAGTTCTATAGCGGCGTTTTTAAGCACCACTAAGCCCTCTCGACGATAGTAAAAGCGCCGCAAGAAGCATCAGTGAAAGCAACGCCGTAAAAGTTAACAGCGTTTGTGAACATAAAATGTTGCAGGTCATGTTATATAGCAGCATTTTCTCCCAAACGCCGCAAAAGGTAATGTCATATAGCGACGTTTTCTCCCAAACACAACAATAGATCAAGCTATATAGCTACGTTTTTATCCCAAACATCACAAAAAGTCATGTTATATAGTGACGTTTTAATCACAAACGTCATAATTGATTATATATAGTGGCATTTATATTAAAAACACCGCCATTGATCACGTATATAGTGGTATTTTTTTACAAACACCACTATAGTCAAACACCCGACAACATATTCAAAATCATTTCATTTTCTTAATTTTCATTTCTTTTACTTTATTTTCTTTTTCCTATACAACTTTTAATCCAAACAAAATAAAAAAATAATACATTAACTTTCATTCCAAATTGTACTTTAAATTTTGAGTCAAGCATTCATATATCATCAATCATAGTGTAAATCGACAAGCATACATGAGAAAATATAAGTATGCGGAACACACAAGGAATCAAAGGTTCATAGTGATGTACAATTGAAAGTTTGAATCATTAGAGAAGATATCAGCTAGACCCATTGCATTAAGTTGAAAAGGCCCTAAAGGATAGGTTCTATCAGAACTAGCAGTGAGATGTTTGGAATTTTTACCAAGTCCACTCTTCAACAAATGAAGGACCTGCATCATTATAATTATTGTATTAAAGACGAGCATTCAGGTAAACAACTCTGAATATAATTCTCTATCCAAAAATAAAACTTCCATAACCAACAAAACACTGATCTCAAGCGCAACAGATTTTGCCAAACCCAGGCTTCCAGGAGAGCTGGCAACCTCATCAAGGTAAGATATGCTTTCTGCTTCACACGAATGCAATAACTGCATAAGCAGGACACTTCATTAAATATTCAATACTTGTTAACTTAACAATCTAAGGCAACAATCTAGTTACTATTGTTTTTACCAGAATCCTTTAAGAAGTCCTGATTAATTTAAAAACCGTGGAGACATCGAGACAGAGACACATACCTTCACCAGAAGCTTTACCATCATGAATGTTCATCTGCAAAAAACGTAAGCATTTAGACATACAGCTTTGTATTTCAACATTAACAAAAGGATCAACTATTATAAGACAACTATGAATAAGAAGAAGCGCTTACATTCTCCACAGGATTAATGACACTAGTTTCTTGTAGCAATGCATGTAAAAAATTTCATAGGCATAAATATTTAACACTAAACCCTTCAAACTTTAAAAAGTATTAATAGACAAATAGGCAACAATAAACAAGAATTTTTAGCACAGATATACTGCTTGTGTCTTGGGACTATGATTAAAAACAAGGTACACCATAAAGTTATCAAGGTACTCAAATCTCTAATATTAGGGGGTTGGAGGATTACAAATTTACCTGTTCAAGCCTGTCACCAACATTTGTTCTATCAACAACGACCATTGAATGGCCCATACCACAGGCAACACTACAAGGATATTCAAAAGAATTCACCAGTATCATTCTGTCCAGAGAAAATCAGAGCATATCGTAGTATAGATGCATGAAATTATTGTTAATTTATCCACCTGATAACATGCATACCCTCAAGAATGTCTACCTTCTTTGGAACAGCAGAAGATCTAAACAAAAGACACAAGATTAAGTAAATAGAATATAGGGAGAGAGACTACGAATAAAAAAGCCTTAAGGACAAGTAAGAACACATACTTTTGTCCAGCGGGACCATATCCCAACTCTCCATACTGAGCATGGCCCCAGCTTATGCAGGAGTCAGCACTGACAAAATGGTGCATGTTGCCTTCATAAAACAAATATGGCCAAGAACTCATTAAATTGAATCTATGTAATGACAAATATCATGAAAATGTTAAAACAAATGGCGTTGGTGTTTAACATAATTCTATAAGATGCTATAAATGTTTCAACATAAAAGCTAATAAAAATATGACAGTATTTTTGGAAGTGATAAGGGCTAGTTTGTGCTTGTAGTTAATTACATAGGATTCAATTATGTTAAACATACATCCATGTGGTTCATAGTACGAAACAACTTGTCATCTATGAATTTGGTCGCAATGCAATATTGCTTCGATTTGTTTTCCAAATCCATCCGAGTGTCGGGCAAAACAAAACATCCGATATATGGGTCAACAAAAAGAGAGTCTGCATGTAAAAAACACATTATTCTTGACAGCTTAAAGGTTGCACGATGTCAACATTTAAAGGCAGAGTAAATATGAGTAGAATCAGAAAACCACATATGTTCTTTTTCTTCTCTTTTCTTCCCATGATTCGAAATTGAATCAAAACTCAGTTTCAGTTGTAACATTTGTACTCAGCACAATCATAATTTACTATAATCCTTCAAAATTTTGAGAAAATTTTGAATATGCGCATACCCGTGCCCGACCCTCATTCCATTTGAATCTGGAGCACGTGAGAGAGCTCAGTCATTAAGGACTGTTGTTAAGGGTTTGGTCACTGAAAATCTAAATACAATTATCTCTTAAGAATTGTTCTTGAATCTTGAACATCTAAGACAATTCACTAATTCACTGTTGTTGCACCTCTAATCCATCATCCATGGTTCTAGATTAAGATTTATTTAACAGTCAACGAACATAATAAAAAAGAACCAAAAAATTTAATATACAAACATTTTCACGAACACTGATCTACGACCCACTAGCTACTAGAAAAGTTAAACAAAACAAAAACAGATCAAAAATTCTTTAAAGAGCTGAAAAAGGGGAGATTTATTTTTTCTTTTAAAGGTGCAATTATCCAACTCACCAAGCCAATCTGGAAAGACGCCAGGTACGAGACTTGGAGATTCTTCAAGCGATTTCTCATGTAAGGATCACAAGACAAGTAGAGATTTTTTTGTTCATCACCGATTCTTCACCAGCCATTGTTGCTTGAAACCAAAAAAAGAAAACTCGATAATTCAAAGGAAGAGCCAAGAAATTATGAAGAAGTTATAGAAAGAAGAGAAGAGGCGAAGATATGGTACCTGTGAGAAAGATGAATGACGAAGACCAATGATTAGGCAGTACCCGTGAGATTCAGAGAGAAATAAGAAAAAACTAACGATTTAAAAACAGGTAACAGAAGGGACGAAAGGATTGGGGGATACATAACTGAACAATTGCGGAGTTTGTTTTTACAAATGCCACTAAAGTACAAAACAATTGCGGCATTTAAAGTAAAACGCCATGAAAGTATTAATCTATAGTGGCATTTCCCTAAAACGCCACTTTATATCAATCTATGGCGGCGTTTTTACCAAAAACGCCACTGTAGGTTCATGCTTATTGTGGTACTTTCCTATAAACGCTGCGAATGTTAACATTTTGTGGCATTTATTATATAAATGCCGTGATATGTATAGACTTAGTAGCTTTTACTTAAAAAACGTCGCAAAAAGTGCAGCTATATAACAAACTTAGTGTAGTGTTATTAGTACCAATACTACTGTATGTTTTCCAAAGTGTTTAGATTCCAGTAAGAAAAATTGGTACCTATATTCAAGGAGTATCGATACTACTTTACACAATAATATATATACCATGAAACCCTAGTATTGATATTGGTCAAGCCTAACAGTCTTTAACGGCTAGTTTATTTAAATATTACAAAAGCACTACCGATACTCCTAGTTTAAGTATAGATACTCCTTGTTTTGGAATGTTTTGTTTCATAGAAAATTAATTATCAGCGACTTCAAAACATCACTAACGATTAAAAACGACTACAAACTCATTCTAACATGTAAAAAAGTTAAGGATACCTGAAAAGATTACAACACCTATCCAAGCAATCTAGATAAAGAGAAAAAAATCTCTCTTTATTTTTTCTTTTCTCTTGTTCATAGTGTTTTTGTGAGCTTAATTTTTTAAACACCTACCTTTGGGAGGATTTCTTGTTTACATATTTTCATCATTTGTAAAAATGAGTGATTCTAGTTTAATCATTGAAAAAATAAAGATTTTGTAAAGGTTACTCTTTAGCCTAGAAAAAGAAAGAATAAATTAGTAAATTTGTTGAAAAATACTTAGTGTTGAACTACAATAGTGGATGTGGACTTGATTAAAAAGTAGAACTACTATAAATTATTGTTATATTTTCCTATTATTTCTCCTAAATTCCCAAATTTTCAAAAGGTCAATTTACTCCATCTTGGAAACTTTTTTGGTGATCATAGAGCCTCAAAATTCCTAAAAATTGGTATCAGAACGGGTCACAATCGATGGTTTAACAATCTTATAAATATCTAATAAGCACTTTATCAATTACATACGCAATCAAGAAGATGACTTTCACATTCGACTCCTACTATTTAGATACTCTCACTCTATCACAAGGCCTCATTACTTCAATAGAACAAATTAATTCTATTAGAAGAATATGATGATGTTATTCATCCAATCAATTGACATTACAGTTTGAGATGTTATCGTCAATGGTTCTTCCGCCACTCCAATAAATCGATCAGAAAGGACAAAAGAAGATAAAAAGCTAGCCCAACTCAATGCTAAAGTCATACACATCCTCTTTTGTGCTCATGGCCTGAACAAATATAGTAGAGTATCTTCATGCTCTAATGTTAATGAGATTTGAGAAAAATTGGTGGTGACCCATGAAGAAACAAGTTAAGTGAAAAAGTTATCTAAGATTGGCATTATCACTCTCAACTACAAGAACTTCAAGATGAATCCCAATGTAGACATATAGACGATGTCTAATTGGTTTACTTTCATCATCAATGATATTAAAGGTTTTGAAAAAGTTTATCCTAATGAAGAAATAATGAGAAATATTTTATCTTCCTTGTAAATTTCTTGGGAAGGAAAGGCTATCGTCATCGAAGAAGGCAAGTATTTGGAGTTGCTCACTCTTAATGAGCTTATCGGTTCTCTACTCACCCATGAGATAAGACTCCAAAGAAAGAAAGAAGAAGAAAAAAAGAACAAGAAAAAGAATGAGGTAGGAATACCTTCAAGTGCACTAATGAGAGTAATAAAAACTCAAGTGAAGAGGTTAATGAAGATGAAGAGATGGCCAAGCTCTTCAAAAGATTCACAATATTCATGTCTTACAAAAGAAAAAAAGTGAATCATGAATCAAATAAGAAAAAGGGTCACTCAATGTCCTTTGAATACCAAAGAATGTGATATATCAAGTATGATTGTCTTCTACTAAAGAAAAAGAGATCAAGAAAAAACAAGACATTTGTGACTGCTTGGAGTGATAAAGATAACTCTAATGATGAAGATGAAGTGTTAACCTATGTCACATGAACATCGAAGATGTAACACCCTAACCCAATCCGACGATAAAAATTATGGGATTAAAGTATCACACAGGATCACCGAAGTGGCTAACATAAAAATTTTCTTTTAAAAACAACAATTTATAAAACATCATATGACCCTTCAAAGTAATAAAACAAAAGCATAATACTCAAGTTTACAAATACGGGAGCTCCCAAAATATATCTCAATAATAATATAGTGTTAAAAACAAAACATAGTTATGTTTGAATACAAAGGGTCTATGAATAGTATATGTCCTCCAAATATGATTCAAGATATACTTTAAAGCCTTGATTGATCTAGACTCGATGATAACGATAATGCTCCTCGATCGGTCTCCAAAGAACCTGAGCATGAAAACACATTCTAAATGCTAAGCTTATGAGCTCAGTGTCACACTAATAATTGTAATGTACTTTGTGCATTCACTACATGAGCATGCTAGATGCATAGGTATAAACATATAAGAATGCTAACATATAAGGTGAGGTAGGCATCATGGTGTGGTTGAGGGTTCTGCATCTCGGAATGCACACCCATCTAGCATACTTAAGATACCCTTGGGTATATAGGGTAAAATCCAAAATTGCATAGGAAATGTACACCCAATCAACTTACTTCGTCGAGTCTCGGGGCAGTTGTACCCAATTGGCAACTAAAATGCCTTGGCACTAGGTGAGATATATATGGATATTCTACATGCAAGATGATCATC